CCCGGGCTACACCTGGGCCTGGGTGGGGCCCGAGCACCTGTATTTCTAACAAGCACGCAGGTGATGCTCATGCTTTCTGGGGACCACAGTTCGAGAACCGGTGCTTTACTGCAGTAAGGATGCCAAGGCAGTCTAGGCCTCTTAATTTTTCTCAGAAACCCGTACCTGTCATTGCTGTTCCCAATCCCATCCCCAACTGGGGCAGTTTTCCAAACTTCTTTTTTCTAAAAACTCTGTTTTTCAGAATTTGCATTGAAACACTTTCTAAATTATATTCGGTCCGTTATCCTTCTCTATGGGAGTTGTAACAAGGAAAAGCTAAAAATAACCAAGTGTCTCAAAATATGGGATCCACTTGAACGACCTCATGTTTAGTAACTGGGACATAATTGGCACAAATCTATGACATGGGGCTGGCTGATCCACCGCCTGTCTGCTGTGAGATCCGCGCCTGCCTCCTCCTGCTGGCTCCGCATCCCAGGGCAGGGCAATGACTAGGAGCCCCGGCCCTCTGGGTCTGGGTGGGTCCCACCGATGGAAGGTGCTGGTGGAAGAGCAGAGGTGGAAGATGGGAGAAGGCAGGGTACTTCTCCCTTTGTCTCTCTCGCTGCGTGGACGGTATCCAGTCCATCCTGGCACGGACCGAATCTCCTTCACAGCCTTCCACGGCTCTGGCCACTGGCCCAGCACCCGGGTCTGCACCTCCCCCTATGGTGCTCCTGTCTTCCCGCCTTAACAATCTCTATCTTTGCCTCACCAGCTGGTTTCCCAGCTCTGCCAACTGGCTCTAACTTCCCTTTGCTTGAAAGGAGAGGTTCCTGTTTCTGACGGGACCTAGCCTCATACAAACAGTATCCTGCTCAAAGGCTTTCTAGCTCAGCCACTGGAGAATATACGGCAACAGTATTGGATTCTGCAAAAACTGGTATTCTCGAGTATAGATATATGGTTGCTTGCTGCATGCCTGGGCGGCTCGTGGGGGATGTCAGTGGTGGCTGGGGAAGGGACGTAAGCCCCTCCATCATCTCCATCAAGTACTCTTCCCTTTCTCAGCACAAGTCAGTCTGTCTTCTGCACAATGTGACTTCCTTACAAGTCTCCTATCTTCCCTTCCAAGCTCTTAAACCCCTCCTATATCCATATACGGGTATTCTAAAACTGCCACTGGAAAAGGGATCAGGGAAGAAGAACCTTCATGCTATTTTTAGTAATCTCATGAAAATACTCAACATCATTGATGCGTGTGGGTGACGGTGGTTAATAATAAGCTTACAGACATTCTTTATGGCTGCTAAAATAAGGAAGTTGTTCCCTATTATTAGTATAGGCACCGGGCCGTATCGACCCATTGGCCATCATCAATATAGTGTCAGGAAGCTGATTTGTCATATGCCCCTAAATGCTTCAGTGAGGCTCCAAGTCAATAGCTTAAGACAAATATCTAAAACTCTTAGCAGCAGTAATCCAGATATCCCCCTGGGCCTATCAAAGTGCTTTTGCAGTGTATGCTGAGGAAGTCAATGCAGATTATCACAGACAGCTCTGAGGAGAAAGTGACTGGGACCATATATGGACTCAACTAATATCTACATAATCTCATTGAAAATAACAGATTTTCCTCAGTGATGTGGACATAAATGTTTCCCCCAAATTCTGTTCCTTGGGTAGAATCTTGTTGTCTGATGGGCTAATCGACCATGCCACTGAAGACCAAACCAAGTGTGCTGGTCAGGGATCATCACTGCAGCACCATGATTCAGACTCAACTGAAGATGGTGGGGGTAGGGGTGGGGGCAGGAACCATGACCTTCTGAACGGCTTTTACTTTCCAAGAATTTGAACAAGTGCATTTTGGAGCATCTTCACGTAACAGCATTATAGTTTCTTTGAGAAGATTTTAAAAATCTGAAATGAAGATGATGTGTTTCACTTAACACGTGCAGTTCTGTCTTTCTCACGTGTGATCAGGGGACCCCCCTTCTGGCATACTCTGGACTATCATGGTAACAGTATCAAAGGACAAAACGTATCTTATCTCAGTGTGCTGGGCTCATCTACTGACTTCGGTTCAAGCTGCAGAGGAAGCCCAGCATCACCCATCTTTAGTAGGGGATCTGCTTAGAAACATAAGAGACATCCTTGGCATTAGCACACGATCGCTTTCATTTTCTGGCCACATTAGGGATCAGACAAAGAATGTGTATAAAATCATAGAGGGGGTCTAGGAGAAGAAGAGGAAGAACTTGGAAATCCAAGTATGCAGAAGACAATCTAGCACTGTAATTATGGGAATGGGCTCTGGAGTCAAAATCTGGATTGGCCTGTTCAAAGCTGGGTTACCTCCAGTGAGCTATTTAACTTCTCAGTTTGCCAGCCATCAGATGGGGAACACAGTAGGTAATCTCGCAGGGTTCCTATTTTAAGATTTCATGATTTAGGGGCACCTGGGTAGCTCAGTTGTTAAACTGTCTGCCTTCAGCTCAGGTCATGATCCCAGGGTCCTGGGTTCAAGCCCCGCATTGGACTCCCTGCTCAGCAGGAAGCCTGCTTCTCCCTCTTCTACTCTCCCTGCTTGTATTCCCTCTCTCACTGTGTCTCTGTCGAATAAATAAAATCTTAAAAAAAAAAAAATCACGTGATTTATGGGCACCCGGGTGGCTCAGTTGGTTAACTGTCTGCCTTCAGCTCAGGTCATGATCCCGGGGTCCTAGGATCAAGCCCCACATTGGGCTCCCTGCTCAGCAGTGAGTCTGCTTGTCCCTCTCCTTCTGCCCCTCTCCATGCTCATACTCTCTCTCTCATATTCTCTCTCTCAAATAAATAAAATCCTTAAAAAAAAAAAAAAAGATCACATTATTTAAACACGGTGATGGGTCTGGTAGAGTGGGTCTGGTAAGTAGGAAGTTCTTAAATGTTGACTGCTCTCATGTTCATGGTCGTCTGTGAGAAGATTCTGGAACCACGGGCTGCTAGTTGTGTTTAGGCACTGTGAATAGAAATGAGTGATGTTCTGAGCAAATCCTCCCTGGAACTGCGTGGGAATCAGGGCACATCTCCGACAAATGGTATGCTTCCTACTTGGGAAATAGCTTTATCTGGGAGTGGGGAGAGGTCTGGAAGAAACATGAAGCATTTAGAAAAAGCTAAGTTCTGGCAATGATGAGGAAGCCTTAGAGAAGGCGTTGTGGACCCAAGTGTATATCATACGGTCAGTCTTATACTGCTACTGATAATGACAGCTTTAGAATCAAGCCTAGTTCAGAGCTGGTGCTTGGAATCACCTAGTTCTAAGGCCTGGTATCATAAAGACTGCCTGAATCTTAGAGAACATCCCATTCAGTCACCTCATTTTACACATGTACTCCGGACTCAAGGCTGGAAGCACAAACTGGTCAGAGGACAAGAAAAAACAAATGGTCCCATACTTTAGATGACTCCTCCATACACAAAACTGAATCCCCAAGGTGTCTTGGAAGTACAGGAAACACAGTTTGTGCACTTGAAGAGACTGAACCTGGTTCTAAGGCCTCCATTATCTGCACTGAACTGGGAGCAGTACACCCTGCTAGTTATCAGGATACACTGAACTGGGAGCAGTACACCCTGCTAGTTATCAGGACACAAAGAGACAAAATATCTTTGCTGTTGGTTGAAGGGCTTACCACCCATCATGCAGCATATATTTTATAAGCACCTATTATGTGCCAAGGGCTGAATTCAATTTCAGGAATCTGGGAAGAATTTACAGTCTAGCAAGGGAAAAATGTATAAGTAACAAACAATCATGGGGCACCTGGGGGGCTCAGTTGATTAAGCATCTGCCTTTGGCTCAGGTCATGATCCCAGGGTCCTGGGTTCGAGCCCCACATTGGGCTCCCTGCTCAGTGGGGAGTCTGCTTCTCCCTCTCCCTCTGACTGCTGCTCTCCTTGCTTGTGCCCTTTCTCTCTGCATCAAATAAAATAAATAAAATCTTTAAAAAAAAATAAGCAGATGACTAGTCTAGTGTTAACACAACTGAAATGCTTCACCCACTATTGCATTAAGGAGCACCTGAGTAATCCTGGGAAGATTAAGAAAGGCTTATGGGCAAAGGTGAGCAGAGCAGATAATGGTGCTGGCAGAGTTCGGGACCACATTCCAGGGGGGAATGAAACCTGAAGGCAGGAATGAGGCCTCTTACACTGTCTCTCTTAGACCCACCCTCTTCTCTCCACGTGCACTGCCATTGCCCCGCCCATAACATTATCCTCTCCTCACCTGCATCCACCCAACATATTGGATGTACAGAAGTCACATGATCTTGTTAGGACACAAATCCTAATCATATCACTCTCCTTATTTATAAAACTTTTCAAAGGTGCCCAATGCTCTCAGGATATTTAATAACATATTATAATCATGAGGATGATAAAAATATCAAACTTACATAGAGCTTCCTAGGTACCTGGTGTTAATCTACTCGCTTTATGGGTCTAATTGATCCCCATTATTTTTTTTGATCCCCATTATTTGTGGATTCCTTATTTGTTTGAATTCATCTAACTTGCTAAAATTTATCTGCAATCCACAAAGAAATATTCACTGTGCTTTTACAGTGACTCGCAGGCATTGGCCGAGTGGCAAAACATTTGAGTTGTCTGATGGGCATGTTTCTACTAAACTCAAACAAGGCGATGTTCCACCATCTTGTTTCAGTTCCTCATAGTAAAATCTTTCAGTGGGAAGACTTAGTTGGGTCATGCTCATTTCACATGTTCTAGAACTGTATCCCGAAACAACACAAGTAAAAAAGGAAATAACGAAATTCTACTCAAATCCGAATGAAGCCAGAAAGAAGTAGATTTAAGGGATTGCTCAGTTTGCTGGCTTTAACGTTTGATTTAAAAAACAAAACAAAACAAAAAAAAAACTGTCATGAAAGACCGAGTAATAGAAAATTTAATGTACAACAGAAAGAACAGAACCTTCTTTCCAAAGCATGAAGAAGAAAATAGCTTACCTGTGGTGGAGATTGTCCATTAGGTTTCTCTCAAAGTTTAACTTCTCTTCCTGCAACAAGAAAAATGTTGAAAATTGAGTCTGCAAGTTGCTTCCTGTTCATAGCCAAGTTACATCTTCGAAGTGAGAGCAGACAGCACATCTCAAGGGGGTGCTAGGCAGCGATGTGGGGGAATGGCGTTCCTGGCCCAGAAGACAAGTGGCCTGGGTCTATCGCCTAACTGCAGCCAATCAGCAATCAGTGAACAATCCACCCAAATTTCAGTGTTTTCCTCTATAAAATAATGTCGTGCAAGTTAAAGAGCACGATGTGGAAGCGGTCTATCATGTGCTGGGCACGCTGGGACTGTTCAATAACCGAAAATTACAGTTGTTATTTAATAAACATCACATGACAACACACCTCTGCTGGGTGAAGGTTCAACTAAACAGAAAAATAATTCAAACAATTTGCTTCCTAGAGACATATCAGTCAAAGTTTCAATGAATACATGTGAAATATTTTAATAAAATAAGTAATTTAGAAAATAGCTTTGCTTAGTGAAACTAATGATATGTAGGACTTGAGAAAGTAAAGCTAATGTTCGGATTTTTACCAACTTCTCGGTGATTATTAGAATAACTCACTTATATACAGACACAACTTTTTCGAGAAATGCTCTTAGCCCATTCCCAAGTAAATCACTTCTTGAGATCATGACTTCTGTCTCAGATTTGGCATGCATTATCGGAAAGGTTATATCCTTTTGGTAAATAATTTTCATTTTCTTGTCAGTAATGTGTTTTCACTAAGTATTGTTGCTTATTGTTGAATAATTTGTTAAAATTGAATACACTGCCCAAATGCCACATGATTCTATTCTTTTTTTTTTTAAGATTTTGTTTATTTATTTATTTATTTATTTTGAGAGAGGGAGAACATGAACAGGAGGAAGGGCAGAGGAAGCAGCAGACTCCCAAATGAGCAGGGAGGCCCAATACAGGGCTTGAACCCAGGACCCTGGGATCATGACCTGAGCCTAAGGCAGATACTTAACCGACTGAGCTACCAGGTGCCCCATGATTCTATTATTCTTAGTTTTTATCACAGTGTTCATAATTCAACTCAAATATTACTTGGTAAGGATGACATGAGAAAGGCAAGCCCTTGGGGAGCTAGCCATCTTGTTGCAGAGGCCAAGGAGACAAGAAGAGTTTACAAATCACTAAAATATTGTGCAGGGTACAAATACTGCCGTCAGAGGCACACAGACAAAAGGGCTGGGGGTTTGTGTAACTGAGGCCAGCAGTACCTGAAGCAGGCATTCACTCAAATTTGAGAGACACCGTGGTAGATGGAAACATAATGATGGTGAGATGTGGAAGGAAGGCCTTTCAGGTAGAGGGAACAAAGAGGACACAGGAAAGGATGGAGTATTATTTAGTGAACAAATAATTGAATTCCTACCGTGTGCCAGGCACCAGGAAACTGTGGTGAATGGGAGTGTTGTGTGCCCTATAAAATGACAGCTCTACATGCAAAACAGGGAATATTCTGGTTTGCTTGGTGTTTAAAGAACTTGGACCTTGCCATGTGGTTGGTAGACTTGCCATGTGCCAAGTGCATTGTGGGAAACCAACTGGATGTGGCAGTTTGGAGTTACAGATGAGAACCTACTAAGAGTGGGGAATGGACCTTGAAGACAGAGCATTTAGACTTGGATCCACAGAATGAGGTGGAGCCAGCCATGTAAACAATAGCTCTCAACAAGGCATCCCATGGTTAAGAAGCCTTAAGTAGTTCTGCATTGCCTACCAAGTCTTTCATGTCCTCAGCTCAGCATCCAGGGCCTTCTACAATATGGCACCACTGGCTCTGCTAGATCATCTCTGCAACTTCTCCAGCTACCCCTATTTCTAATCCATCTGGATTTTTTGCTCTCTTTTAAAGATTGCTTATATTTTCCTGTTTCTATGACTTTGCACATATTATTTCTCCCAGTTAGTATGCCTCTATGCTCATTAATCTTGTGCAAAATTCTGATCCTTCAAACCTCATTGCACATACTACCTCCTCCATATAGGTTTTTTTTTTTTTTTTTTTTTAAACCCAATTAAAGGTAAGTACTCCATTCTTTTCATCTCTATAGAGTCTTTAACTTCTTGGATGGTCTTTTTGTCTTTGGTTATAGTGATTCACTTATGTAATGTGCCCTCCATTAGACTGTAAACTTTTAGTAGGGAGGGGTCATGGCTTCATCATTGAGTTATAAGTATCACTGAAAATTTTAAGATGCTTAATGCCAATGTATTATAAAACAGTATACACATTTAATCAAATCTAAGACATACATGCATTCATTTGCCTTTTAACACCTCTTTTTTTAAAGATTGATTTATTTATTTGAAAGAGAGTGAGAACAAGGGAAGGGGCAGAGGGTGAGGGAGAAGCAGACTCCCCCCTGAGCAGGGACCTCAATATGGGGCTCCATCCCAGGACCCTGAGATCATGACTTGAGCCAACAGTGTGGCTGTTTTATACACTGAGCAACCCTGGCGCCCCTGCCTTTTAACACTTCTGAAACAGAAATGCATCTTACAATCACTGGCACATCATGGTTAAATTGGTGGCATTATTTTCTATTTTTATGGTATATAAGATAATAGTACCTGTTATAATCTATGACATCTAATATTCAACAAAATACAGTATTTTAATTATTGTTTGTTATCTCAGTAATATATTATGCATACACTTTACCAATTATATCCTATGTTAAATAGTGTTTGTCTTGGAGCCAATTATATGAATATTTTATGAGTATAAGACATGGTCCATTTACCCAAGAAACTTCTAAGATGAAAACTAAGAATATCCAGAGATGAAGTAAGAATTTTATCACCTCTAAGCACTATATAAAGACCATGTATCAAAGCAAAAGCAGTAACCATAAACAAGACACTTCAAAGAAACTCTACTTTTTCCCCCAGAATGACTTTTTAAAAATAAATTCTTTCAAAAGAAAATATTTAGGTACACCTGATTTGTTGGTACCTTAGGTACATGACTAATTTATTTGCTGGGCAAGAGAGCATTGACATTACATTGGGCTGTACATGTGTGAGGACCCAAGGATTAGTAAAGCCAATCAGTTCTAGGTATCATGGGAGTTCAGAAGAAGCAATCCCAGTGTAGTTGAGATGCCAGGAAAGGTTTTATGGAAAAATAGGGGCATAAGAAGTGGTAGAAATGAGAAAGGACAGTTTTAGTAAAAGAACAAGGGTAGAAAAGAATATGACTTATACAAAGGACAATGGAAAGGCCCATTTTGTGGGTTTGGGATGGAAATGGCATATGTGGTGAAGTTATTGGGGCCCTTGAAAGTAGGCACAGAAGACCAAATGTGACATGATTGGTGATCAAACAGCAAATGGCAGGATGGCAACAATATATCAGAAAGCACCACCACCTAGCAGCAAATGGGGAAAATTACAAGAGTTATGTACAGACTTACTAAGAGTTGATCCTTTGAATTAAGTGATCAGATAAAAAGAGCCTGATGTGTGGTGGTATCAAAGAGAAATCCAAAGCAAAGAGCAAATTTGGAAAACTATTTTTTCAAGCTTTCCTTGGTTTGTTTTTGAGTTAAGCATTGATTTCTATTGGCCCTGATTTCTCTTAGCAATTTGGTTTATATATACACTTACTATATACAGTGTCTTGGGAAAGTTATGTTGCCTCACTAACAGTTTTCTAATGCATAAAATAACAATTATGATAGTACTTTTTTCAGAGAGTAGTTACGGTTAAGTGGAAGAACACAGCAGAGTACTGAGCACAGTGTTAACACAAACTATAACTGTAATGTTAGCTATTATTTTTCATTCACTGTCACTGTCACCATCATCATCGTCATCACCATCATTATCACCAACATCACCACCATCATTATCACCATCACCACCATCATCATCACAATCATCACTATCATCATCATCACCACCATCATTATCATCACAATCATCACCATCATCACCATCATCACAATCATCACCACCATCATCATCACCACCATCATTATCACTATCATCACCATCATTGTCATTATTACCACCATCACCACCATCAACACCACCATCATCATCCTCACCATCATCATCACCATCAACATTATCACCATCATCATCATCTCACCACCATCATCACCATCATCATAACCATCATCATTATCATCATCATCCACCAGCCAGTTTCTGTTTTTCTCCCTGCCACTCACTGGAAGTTCCTTGAGTCCAGTGATCACATCTCACTCTCTTTGTTTCTTCAAAAAGAAATACAAAGTAGGACTTGCACAAATATGTGCTGAATTTTATGAAAAATAAAAAGCCAGATCTCCATGACAGAAGGGATCTGTGAGACAAAAGATGGAATTATTGAAATTACTCCTATTCTTGGAGGCTGACAAATGGGAAGAATGGTGTTTCCACAAATAGGGCAGGTGGAAGGAGAAGCCCATGTGTAGTATTTTTTTTTTAAAGATTTTATTTATTTATTTGACAGACAGAGATCACAAGTAGGCAGAGAGGCAGGCAAAGAGAGAGGAGGAAGCAGGCTCCCCGCTGAGCAGAGAGCCTGATGTGGGACTCAATCCTAGGACCCTGCGATCACGACCTGAGCCGAAGGCAGAGGCTTTAACCCACTGAGCCACCCAGGCGCCCCCCATGTGTAGTATTTGAGAGAGCCTGAGTTCAGCATTTAGCCGACTGAGTCGGAGTGAGGGGTGGGGAGACAGTAAGAAAAAGGTGCAGGCAGAACCAATGCAGCTGGCTACCTTCCATGACAAAACAAGAAGAGGCACACATATGCTCCCAGAGAGAGCAACAGTCGATAAAAACAGAAAGCCCATGGATGTGATGTAACTGACCCAGCAAGTCAGCAGTGTGGAAAGCCAAGAACCAGCCCAATTTAGCAGACTCCTTCAAGGCTTTAGACAGTAAGGACAGAGGGGAGAGTGAGACTCAGGATGATTTGGAAGGTAAGTAAGAAGCAATTAGGTTCCTAAATCTCTTTC